CGGGGTGCCGGGAAGCGGGCAGGGTCACTCCGGGCAGACGTATTTGTATGCATTCTGGGTCATTTCGGGTTACTTTCGGGTTCCAAGGTCAACCCGACACGGTTTTTCAAACGCGGGAGGAGAAAGAAAAGAAATGAATCCAAAAATTCTAACTTCTACACCAGAAGAGGGGCCTTGAATTTTGCATAGGGAAAGTCACCTACGACAAAAAATAGAGGAATGCCTCAACTGTAAGAAAGTTAGAACGAGAAAAGAAGAAGATATAAGTTTCCCCCTAGCCTTGAGGGGTTATTTATAGCCTTTGTTTGGGAAGAAAAAGAAATTCCAGAATTTTGTGGAATTTTATTGATTTTTCTAAATTTTTTATAAATTTTTGGGATTTTTTTTTAAAAACGTGGGCCCCACACAAAAAAAAAATCAAAACGTAACTACACGGTCCAGCGCGCAGGATGCACCATTTCGCAGGCGACAGGAGTGCCGCAACCTGCGACTGACAGCGGGCGGCGGCCGGCCAGCCAGTTTGACAGTCTACGTGTGTCCGGACCCAATTTTTGGATTTGACGGTCCAAATTCGACATATTTTGGGTCCTCAAACACGTTTTTTGAAGTTCCGGACTCAATTTTGACACTTTTGGAGCTCAATAGGACCTCTATGATCAAGTTTAAGTCAAAATTTTAATTTTTGAACGCAATTTTTTGCGATTCGGCCAATGTAAAATGTCAACGCATATAATTTCGGACTCCTGAAACTTCGACGTTCGAAAATAGGGGGCATTTGATATATCATCAATAAATTATCTTGATTGGGCATGAATCTCAAGGCTAAAATCAAGCTGAAAACTTCAAAAATTAAATCTAGGATCACCTGAACTTCGATTTTAGCAAACTTATAGTCGAACTGAGCGCCTCGGAAATAAGAACCCAACTACACCAAATTTGACTCAATATGTGCACAAATGAGTCCAAATCAAGTACCCGAAGCGCTTTTGGAAAGTTTGTACCACAGTTTCAGTTACTAAACGACTTCGAAACATAATATATTTATAGTCAAATCAAGCGGCTCGACGAGAGGAATCCAACGAGCCCAAGATTGTCGAATTCCGACATTATTAAGACCTTTAAATGTCTGACGAACGATACACAATCAAGGAATTTAATATCGATCGTCCATCCAACCACTCCCCATTTACCCCTGATCTCTCATTTATTTACAGACCATGCCACTCTAGAAATCTATTAATAAACCCCTCATTTCTTTTGAGATGGGGCCCAAGCAAGGAGCAAAACAACAATAATAGAAGAAGAGAAGGAATAAGAGAAGATTAGGAGGGAAGAAACTCCTCCTCGACCACCGCCGGGATTCTGCCTGACTTCCATGGGACGTCGGAATTCCTCACGACTTCCAAGTGACGCTGAAATTTTGATCATCGCCAAATTTCTACTAGACGTCGGAATTCCGCCCAATCTCCAAGTAACTATGGAGTTTTGCTCGAATACCATCTAACAATGGAGTTCTCCCTGACCGCTGACTGATGTCAGACTTCTACCCGACATCGGACCTCTACTCATAGCCAGATTTCAACCAGACGCTGGACTTCTGTCCTTCGTTAGATTTTTGCCGGACATTTATTCGATGCTGGATTTCTATCAATTACTAGACTTCTACCTGACACAGTCCTTCTAACCTCTGTCGCCCGCTGACTATAGTCCTTCCGACCTATGTCGCCTGCCGACTACAGTCCTGCTGACTTACGTCGCCCACCGACTACAGTTCTTTTGACCTCTGTCGCCCGCCGACTACGGTCTTGTCGACTTACGTCGCTCACCGACTACAGTCCCTCCGACCTCTGGCGCCTGCCGACTTACGTCACCCACCGACTACAGTCCCTCCGACCTCTACCGCCTGCCGATTATGGTCCTGACTACTTACGTCGCCCGTCGACTACGATCCTTCCGACTTACGTCGCCCATCGACTACCGTCCTTCCGACCAAACAAACACGTCTATAGTGATTCTTTGTATTCACATAATGTAATGTACTCTATAAGATGCACATCAAGTTAAGGCCTTCCCCTAAGGAATGGCTTCATTTGTAATCAACTGCTATACTAGTGGATTCATTCAAAATGGGTTAGGCCCCATGATTTTTCCCCCTTTTCAATGGTTTCCACGTAAAAATCTTGGTGTCTCATAAATGTTAGACCCTCTCTCTTATTTGATTGCGTGCTGGATCTTCATACAACGATAAGACATTAAACTTTATATTTCTCTACCGCCGCGAATACTCTAGGACATAACACGATCAAAATGTTGTAACTTTCGATCCAATAGGAAGGCGGCGAAGGAGCGAAGTCGAGCAGCCAAGGAGCTGAAGAAGCAGGTAAATTATTAGGTCCGGTCACCGGACCTATCTCTGCTTTTGTAAGCCAATAATATGTTGACATTCAAGGTGGAACTTTTTTCCTTTACTATTATTGCTTTATGTCTTATCAGCCCGCCCGATCCACCTCGCCTGACAACCTGATATATTTGAAATTATGAATACATAAAGATGCAAAACAAATCGACCATACCTTTCACTCTCCGACATAGGTTCTTAGCAGTTCCTCAAAACCTTTGGCATTTTCATTCTCCAGGACCTCGTTGGCGGTAGGCGAAGTTGGGAGAAGGCTGCATTTTATCAAAGGTACGAGATAAGTTGCGCCTTTATTGCGCCTTTGTTGCGCAATTCACTTGCACTTTACTTGCGCATTTTTAAAAAAAATTGCGCATTTGTATTTTGTTTTATGTATATGTTTGGTATTTCAAACTGTCAGCGACACGTGCAATCTATACACCTCCTCCAAGGCTCCAAAGTAACGAGAAGCCGAACATCAACGACGAAAATAGAAGATGAAAGGCAAACCCTAGACGCCTCTATGTTATTATTGATTAACTTGATTAATATAATTTAAATTATTAATAATTAAGTAATTTAAATAATTTAATTAAATAACTAATTGTATATTAGTGCATAAATTAATTATATAATTTAACTTAATTGTATAATTAGTAATTAAATATTAATATAATTAGCTTAATTAAAATAACTTAAATATATTTTATTAAATATATAATTAATAGTGTAATTAAGAATTAATTAATATTTTATACTTAACATGTTATTAATTCATAACACATTAATTTTTATTTTTAATTATACACTTATTTTTAATTTATAATTATCTTATTCATATTTAAATCCCTAACCGCCATAAATCTTAAAATATGTTACAAAACAGTTTCTCGGGATTTAACAGGATTTAACATTTAGCATACCAAACAGTTATCAGGATTTAACACATTTCGGATTTACTAAATCCGGATTTACAGGATTTATTAATGGTTGCTAAATGCTATAAGCAATTGTCGGACATTGATTAGAATGAGGTCCTTACTTTTATAGCATGTATGGAAACTATCAGGTTTCTAATTTCTACTGTTGGTTCAAATCAGTATTAATCTAATGAATATCAAATTTGTTTTGTTAAATTTTTATTTTGAAGAAGAGGTTTATGTTGAGTAACCCTAGTCTATATATGGCTGGAAGAAAGCCCCTCAAGCATGGAATAGTCTCATTCCAGCTTTGCAGCTTTATATATATATATATATATATATATATATATATATGCAATATTTAAATTAACACCATGTTAGATGATGAGATCTTTATTTCCTCTATTGTCTTGCTATTAAAGTGTAAGTGTAAATTTGAGTCTTTTATATTCAAGAATCACAATTTAAAGTACAAGAATAAGTTCAAAGCCCAAAAGGTGAAGGGGTCTTCAAAGAGGCTAAAAGCTAAAAAATTGATTAAAAAAAAGTAATAGAAAAGTTCCCTTTTATGTTCCTCATCACCTCATATTTATAGAGTTGTGAAGGCTACAAATAATGCCACACATAAAAAGGCAAAACATAAGCTATACACAGATACATATATAATGCTACACGTTAAGATTAGGACTCATGACATCCCTTGATTAGCCTCAGGAGGAGGAGTCAACAATCCTGTGAGCTTCTTGTCATCAAACAAGCTCAAGAAGAGGCGAGTAAGTGTAGGTCGAACCCTAAGAGGATGAGAACATGCAACCAGAGATTTGAGAAGATAGATGGATGAAAGCACCTCCATCACCGTCTCTTCTCAGACAGAAATTAGCTGAAAAGGAAGACACAAGTAACTAGTGCATATCCAGATCAAGTGAGGAGCTAAGAAATATAGATCATGCAATCAATTTTAGAGTTATACTAACTCTCAATTGGAGCAGTTGGGAGGGATGAACAATTACATATTCTAATCACAAGTGATACTCAATGTCTATCTAAACACTAACCTGGAAGGGATAATTAATCATTAGGATTTACACCCGTTAAAAACCTAAAATCAGATAACAAAATTCTCATGAAATGAAGACAAAATCCATAAGCAAAACTTTCATTTGAAACACAATATATCAACAAAATCTAACCCGAAACAATTCTTTAAGACTCCCAACAAGGACAAATTATTATGTGCGGATACCGGACAGAGATAACCATCCGAATTTCTCTCTGTGTACAATAAAAGCGCAGTTACTGTAGCTGCTGTGCTTTAACTGCACTTTTATTGTAGACAGAAAAAAAATCTGGATAATTCTCTCCATCCGGTGTCCGCACCTAATAATTTCTTCCAAACAAGAGGCTGGGCGCAGATTTTTAAAACCCACAAAGTTAAAGTGAAGCTTGCAGAGGTGATCAAGGAAATGCTGCTTTATGTAGCAATGCAAGGGCTGGCTTCATGTGAAATTATATTACAAATTCATATGTAAATTAAGATAGTTTGAATTCATATAAGTAATTATAAACTCTTACTTCTGATGAAACTTCCTTCTCTTTAGACGAAAAATATTATGTAATTTTGAATGAAATATAACTTCCCTGGATAAAAAGTTTAAAAATGTACAGAAGATGAAGACAGATGAACATACAAGTTGGCGAGCAAATAGTATTACAATTCACATAAAAACAACACATCACTAAATTAATGAAATCCTTATCGACAAATCATACAATGAACAATATGGCAGGACAACGGTCACATCCTTAATTGAAACATTTAGAGTAATGCCACAGTGCCCTCCTTTGCTAATAAATATTACAAAAGGAACTTGGTGGGATATTACAGACGATAAATATAATTTAAACTTTTTTTTCCTTCTGTTTATTGGCTGAATAGAGCTGATAATCTGCGGAATTCCTTGTAAAAGGCACGTATTTCAAGGGGAATAAATAAATGAAAAGACAGTTTATTGAAGCAGATCAAGCACCAACACAGTTTACCCAGGCACCATAGGTTGAGCTGAAGCTACCCCCTCCAGTCTTTTGAACATATTCCACAATCACCTTCCGCGCACAACTATCCCAAGTTCCGGCCATTTCTCCCAGCGACATAGGCTGTGAAAGGCCTCGAAGTGAGATGCTGAACCTTGACTTTGCTTTGATAGATAGATCTTCAAATTCCTTGCTGAGAATTTTCAATGACAAAATTAAGAAAATAAGACAACAAAGCACATTAATCTTAGATAACTATATAAAAGTTCTGCATGAGTTTTACCTAGATTCAATTGGAAGTTTGTCAAGAAGTAGAGGAGAGCATTTTGGATAGTTGGAAGGAACCAGCAATCTCAAAGGAGCTATCGGGCGCTGTAAAGAATAAAGATGATATTTACTATACTGAAATTGATTGATGGGAAGAATGTCTACTTTTCTTAGAATCTAACCATATGCATTGAAGCAAAATGAGCTTTTAAACTAGGACTGAAAGCGACACCATTGAAGGAACATTCAATGATCGTCCCCTCTCCAACACCTTCGGATGCAGCAGCAGCAGCAGAATCGGAATCTTCATCGCATATACTAACCACTGTGTCAATAAGCTGCTGGTTTATCTCCCTGATCTCCTCCTGCAAAGCATGGTTGACCTGCAAAATCAGACAGCACAACCAAGGATTTACTCAAGATGAACAATTTATTGAAGGAGAATATATTAAAAGCACAAAAGTTCGCTTGTGGATATTCAAAATACCTATTCTTTTGTTGCTATATTTCATCAAGGTTATAATTACATCTAGGAAAACTCTTACAAATATGACTTAGATATGGGATCAAGAATATTTTAAAAAATAGTGCTTGAATTATTGTGATGTTTTTCAAGGAATCATTCAGTTATCAACCATGATCTTGAAACCGACAGTTCAAACATCTATGCAATCTAATCAATGTTTTGAGTTAGCCAATGAAAAATATTATTGTGATGATCTAGAGGCTACGAAGATAAATTATCATTCGTTAATGATGATCGATATGAAGTCGAGCAAGTGATTGATATCAAGCCTAACTAAGCTTGAAGCAGAGTTTTCTATAGTAATGATGATGCAGCCGAGATTGTTAAAAATTGGAGATTTATCTAAAGGTAATTACATCTGAATTTCGTGAACCTTCAATCCCTATTATTGCTCCCCAACCTTATAGATGGAGATATATGATTTTGTTTGTTTCTAGTTACTGCACATGTTGACTTTGCATATCCACAACTAGTACCATCGTATTGTTATACTAAATGCCAAAATGCTGAGTTTTCTGCAATTTCTATCACCACGCAACGACTACAGTATCTTCTATGGGATTGTTGCCGTTATAAAGATATAAAGTGGAAGTACCTCAAGTTTCCTCCTTTTGACATGAGAAGTTGCCGTGGATTCCAATTCAGGGGAATCAAGACTACCAAATTTCATAAAGTTATCATTTACACTGCCTGCTGATGAAACATTATTTAATGGCATGGCACTTGTATGCCGCTTCATTTTCTTCGTGGTGGTGCCTCCATCTTGCGACATGAAGTTCCTTGCTTGCAGACGACACTTAGTCATTGCAACCAAATCTTCACCAACAGCAGCTCTTGAGCCATTGCCAGGTGCTGAACCAGCAATCCGGTCAATCATACTAACAACAGAACTAATATCACTAACAGCAGAGCTAAGGGCAGTTGGAGACATTGATTGCACCTAAAAAAAGTTAAAAATGACATGTTATAAATGCAACATTCATATAAGTATGGAAAATCACTGGAGAACAAGCTGACATAATAGTAAATGTAACCAATTAAGACTAACAATGAAATCCCAATCCTTAAAAACAAACATTAGAAAAAAAATTGTTAATGGACACCAAAAACCAACAAAAATAGAATAATCCAAATTTATTATACTTCAATATTCATATAATTAGAATGTCATTTACAGTTGCGTATGTAAAAGAAATTGGGACGAGCATCATCATTGAAACTGTATTTGCCAAGACTTCCAACTTGAGATTGTAACATTATATATCATTGAATTGTTCAATTAATTGCAAATGATCATGAACTTAACGCTAGCAAATAATAAGCGTATTAGAAAATTCATTATTGAGCAATACTAAATTTTATGCGTAAGGTTTTCTTGGATAATAGCTCAAGATTCCCCAAACTTGGTAACATAATTCGAGAAAAGATTGGTTGCCATTTCACCACATCAATTAGTAAGCGAAAGTGAGAACTAGTTGTATAAATCTCCTTCTCAGTTCCATAGCAATAAATTCAAACGAGTACAAAACGGAAAAATGCTTAATTTCCTGCACGCTACACTACTAGGAATATCATTTTCCCCGCCTAAATATTTATTTACACTGCCTTTTTTTTCTCTTCGAAATTTTATTTGTCAATATTTTGCTTTACAATCCTCATGAACTATTTTTAAATATTGAGGTCAATTTAAAAAAAAAACTAACGGTGAAGTCCACTAAAAGGAACATCATTTTACCTCACTTAAATGCATGCTTACATTGCCTTTTTTCTCCCTGCATTTTACATTTGAATATTTCATTTAACAATCCTTTTAAAATAATGAGATCAATATAAGAAAATGGACAGAGACACATAAACCTGTAGGCTTGCTTACTCTCATAATGCCAAGAAAGGCATATATAGGAAACCTATAACACCATAAGGACAAACAAAAGATCTTCAACCACGCCCAAAAAAGGTTTGTATAGGTTTTGATAAATTCCTAACAAATTAGCAAAATAATTGAAGTAAAGCAACACGAAACTCCCCATCACATGAAAAAACAAGCTCGTATGTTTAGTACATGTTGGCCTTTGCTCTGAACAACAGCAAAATGCGAGCTATTGTGAAATTTAGATGCCCTACCTCACAAGAACTACACAGCAAAAAGCTTATATACTTCATTTCACGAGGATTTGGAAATTCAAGAACTCCAAAATCTTAATTTTTTTCTCAACCTCACCAAACTCGCAAGTAGCCGAGAAGAGAAGCATATTATGCCTCTGCAAAGTGGGACTGAATTCCCGAATCAATAAAATCACCATAAAACAACCTTTTTTTAATGTTTTGGACGGGATTTAATCATGAAATAGGCTCAAGTAGATCCAAATAAGTTAAATAATGCTATCTTTTGAATATGCATAAAGCTAATTAAGACTTGAAGCTTTACTGGAGATACTGAAGGGATAACAAATTGTGTCGGAAATCACTGATTGTGACAAAATCAAATAATTACAAAAGATACCATTAAAATACTTGGACTAATCCACAACAAATTTCAGTAAGCCAGGTCATTCCAACAAAACCCTGTATGGGATGCAGAATCCCATGCCATGCTTCAAGAGTAAAAGGAATGGATTAGAAAACGAAAATAGCTAAGCTTTACATGGCATGAATCAATGGAAAAAAGTAGAGGTGCCTGCCATCAAAGAAATAAATCATTCTATCATCACAACATTTCTATAGCAGTAATCCCATAATAATACATCACACAAGTAGCCAGGCAAGAGAACTAACCGCCTTAATTAAGCGTTCCAATGGTCTCTCAGAAGCACCAACTCTTGATGTTGCATTAGTGAGGTTGCCTTCCTGACTTGGAAATTCTGCTAGTAAAGGGGAGGCTGATATTCCAGGCGTCGCAACAGAAATTGACTGAGATTGAAGTGGCGCGCTAGCAGCTTGCTGATTGGTAGCTTGTCCTGTAGTTGGAAGTGACACGGCAGCAGATAATAGCTTCTCAGAGTCACCTGGTATGGGAGACGGGGCAATGGGAGTGGAAGGAGAAGGAGAAGGCACAACAAAGGGCGACCCTGTTGATTGCATAGGTGTACCAGGTTTTGCATGGGTTGGTAACAAAGCATGCTCTATTTGAGGTGAAGAATGGTGAGAAATCTGAGGGGATGATGCCTGCAGACTTTGGGGAGATGAAATTGGAAAGGAAGCACCAGGTTTAAGTTGTTGAGTATAGTAGTTAGGGCGCTGGACTCCTGTAAAGGTCTGTTGGTATATTCCTGGTTTAATGCTAGATCCTTGCCTGGCCTTCAGTTCATTTAGTTCATTCATAGGATGAAGTTGTGACATCTGGTGCACAGGCAATTGTGAAGGTTGCTGCTGCTTTTGTTGCAGATGCACATGTTGCTGCAGCGGCTGCTGCAGTCTTTGTTGCTGCTGAAGCAATTGTTGCTGCATTTGGCGTTGCTGCAGTTGCTGCTTTAATTGTTGCTGATTTTGCAATAAATGTTCCTGCTGTTGTTGCTTAAGATGTTGCTGCTGCAGAACATTAGAATTTTGCACTGAGGTCCCATTAGGTTGCAATGAACTCAGGGAGCTTTGTGACAGATTGTTAAGGTTTGTTTGTTGGGAAGCACCAACTGAATTCGGCAAAGGCCCAACACCACTCTGTTGTAGTGAGCCCATCGTACCTTGTTGCAGTGAGCCAAAAGAGTTCACTTGGACTGGATCCAAATCAGGGGCAGATTGGGCTGAATTTGTAGCATTTTGTTGGGTTAATGGAGCAACTAAACTCGGTAATGTCATGGATCCATGTTGCATACTGGAGGTTACTGCCGACTGCATACTTGTGATAGAACCAGCCACATTCATTTGGTGCACCTGATTTCCAAGATTTTCATGTTGTTGCACCTGTAGAACTTGAGATGGTTGATGCTGGGGAGTACTTTGAGCAAGTCCACCAGGATGATGGAGCTGCTGCTGCTGGCCTTGCAGCTGTGAAGGCATTATTTTTTGCTTATTGTTTGTATTTAACAAGCCAAGTATTTGTTTCTCATAAGTAGGGAGTTTTTCTTTCAAGCCAATTGTAATACTATTCTTAGAAATCTGAAGGAAAGCTAGCACGCGTTCCAGCAACACTTTGAAGCTTTTCAATTTCTCAAAATTTCCAGATTGCTTTGCTTGAGGCATCATCTCACTCTAATTCAAGGACAAAAAGCAAAAAGAAATATCAATAAGTGTGCTAAACATAGTCTCCCAATGTAGAACATTTATTGAATTACTGAACCGGAAAAGAAACTGATGAGTAAATAAGAACCTGCTGATATCTCTGTGAGATCTTCAGATGGAATTCCTGCAGCTCTGCTAAATGTGACTCTTTCATGACTTGTATCTACCAAAAATGCATATCTATCAGACTATAAAAGATCCAGCTAAATATGGCAGGTGAGAAGCTGATGTAATTAAATGAGTAGGGAGCCTTTTGAAAATATTTGATTTTTGCAAATATTGGATTCTTTAAATTTTCTAAGAGCTTAAGTCCCAATAAAGTAGCTTTGAAATTTGGGGGCGCATTCCTCCGGTTGAATTTTACTATCAACACGACCATCATCAAGACTTTGAACACATTCATTTTTGTCACTTTAAACCTTGTCAACTTTATCAATTTGCTTGCAAAGGATTGGGTCTTTGACTTATTCTACAGTTATATTAGTGAGATAAAATATTATTGTGAATATCAAGATTAAATATTTGATTGCAAACTCGCTCAGTTAGAAAATTATGTTTCAATTAACATTACGGTAATTTACTAAGAGGTGAAAATCTTGTCAACTCCATTTTTTTGGGACATGAAAGATTAGACTTCAAGAGTGGAACTTACAACCCTATCATGTAGGCAGGGTGGCCCACTAGAGGATAATGTGTAAAATGAGAGCATAAATTTTAAATTGAAGGGAGTTTTTAAATTTTCAAAATATAGTTGCTCGTTTTCTAAAAAAAAATTACAAGATTCTTAGAGTAGCGTGAATCCAAATATAGTAGCGCATTTGTCAAAAAACATGCAAGTAAAATTGATTTTGATGAAGTAATATGCATGGTTGCAAGCCTTTTAATGCATTTTACATTTTTGATGTGATCCCATGATACAGTAACACAATACACTTACAAATCTTTTGATACATTCACAATGCGCATTTACATATTTCACAATACGCTTGAGTGATTTTTCTTGCACTTACATGATGTACTTAAATACTTTTCGGTGTATCTGGACAGTGCACTCATCTTTCAAGGACAGTGTACTCACACACTTTTCAAAGTTTGCTCGCATTTTGATGTGCCGATACTGTGCACTGGCACGTTTTTTATGCATTTGTAGTGTACGTGCCCTCTTTTCAATATATTTGAGTGCTTTTCAAAGTGCCGACACAACATATTTGCGCACTTCTTAAAATAGTTGAACAATGATATTTCATGCATTATGCATTTACTCACTTTCGACGTGCCTAACTACCTATATCGTGCATTTGCATGCTTTTTGATGCATTTATGCAGAGAATTTACCTGTTTTTTAATGCACTTGCACGCTTTTAGAATGATGACACACTTGTTAGGGTACCTGCACGTTTCTCAAGCCAACTGCATACTTATTAAGGGGTGGCATGCACTTCAAGGGAGTAGTAAACTCCTTGAACCAGCTATATGTTTCTCAAATTAACCAGCATGCTTCTCAAAATACATCACACTTCTCAAGAAAGTTATACTTGAATTTAAAGTTGTGAATTGTGATGTTGTGTGCATGATTTTAAAATATTTGGATTTGGATTTTAATTATTTGTGTAAATGTTTATCTTTGAAACACATGAACAATTTCAATTTTACATTTTAGAAGGACACGCCACTACCTTCTATCTGCTTGTATGTATGTATTGCGGGTCTGGTGGCATAGAAGGCAATTTCATCTAGTTAAGCTTGTAATCTTGCATGATGGGTCCCACAACAATATCAAATTTCTTGTTATAAGTAGGGGCGCTCCCTAGCTCCTAGCCCATTGAGAGGGTTCTTGAAAATTCTTAACAATTCAAGAGGGCTCTAGTAGTGCAGAGAGGTTAGTTCTACTTGTAGGCAAGCTAAAGCATTCACTAATGAGTTCTGTAAGTTATATTTCAATTCAGTGTTCATGTTCAATTTTGGTCATTATTGTTCATATGACTTGATGTGCATTTCTTTTATTTGTGTGTTTAATATTTCATTTTTGCAATTTCAAAATTATTTTCAATTTTGATTGTGTTATCAAGTAAAAAAATCATTTTTATTTTGTTCTTTGAAAATTCATTATGCCCAAATTCTAGTGGGATCCCGACATCTCCCCTATGTAAGGGACATTATGAGGAGACTAAAGCCTGTTGAGAAAGTAAAACGATGTGCATGTAGTTGATGTACAAAGACATCGTGGCTAAAATTTCAAAAACCCACCGACCAAAATAGAATTGTGCGAGGTACCTACACAAAGGATCTTCGCAATATGTATTTTCCCTGTCATACTAACAAAAGCATGTGCAGGGACCACTCACTACATCGCGAGCATCACCTACTATTTTACATGTCATGCTTAGAAAAACATACACAAGTTCGACTCGTCTTGTCAAATGCATCATAATAAGGCTTTAGGAATTTAAAGTGTTTGCGAGTTTTACCTTCACGCATGCCGACAAGAATGACAAGGCGATAAGATTTGTGAGGTGAGAATATATATATATATATATCATTTCTTTTCTTTTTTTGCCTTTTAAGGCATTCTGTCTGTTTAGAGAGAAAAAGAGTGAGAGAGTGAAGAAAACAAGGAGAGAGAGAGAGAGAAGAGTAAAAGGGTAGAAAGAGAAAGAGAGTGTATACAAAGTTTTCTCCCTCCGTTTAGAGTGCGAAAGAGGGGGTACAGAAGCCAGAGATGGGAGTGAGAGACAAAGTGAAGTAGGGATAGAGGGAGGTTGGTCGAATGAGGGGTTGATGGGGATCGATGGGTTTAAGTTCACCTATGGTTGGGGTTCAGAGACGAGGGTCAGCTCAACAACAACTAGATCATGTGGCAAGCAAGAAGAGAAATGTAAGCGACAACTACAACTAGGATGGAGAAGGTACAACTAGTGCCAATAACAGCTAGGATGGAGTACAAAGTAAGGCTGGTGTCAACAATGGCTAGGAGGGACGGAATATATGTTGGCGTTAAGGAGATTGTCAGAGATGCAGTTGAGCCCGATGAGCAAGAGAAAAGAGAGCGATAGGGGCCTTGCCAAAAGGCTAAGGCATAGACGAGAGAGAGAGAGAGAGAGAGAGAGAGAGAGAGAGAGAGAGAGAGAGAGAGAGAGAGAGGAATTGGGATTACCTAAGGTGCGAGAGAGGAAGGCTGGGGAGTTACAGGATGTGCAACTTGGGAGCAAAGATAGAGAAAGAGATAAAGGGAGGTGGGATTGGGTTGTGTGAATTAAGTTGGGTCATTTTTTGTTTTGATTCTAACATGAAAGCGGGCATCGCAACAACACTTGTTTCAAGCAGTATTATCGAGACTTTTGGGCCAAGAAAATGGAATTTTAAATAATTTTGATATTTTGACTTTTTAAATAATAATAATAGTACTTTTATTTTTAATTAATTAAAAGGATGTGATTATATTTGTGCACAATTCCTCATTTTTTTACATGCCTTGAAATTCATGCCGCCTTCTTGCATGACGGTAAATGTTATGTTCGCTTTTATGCAACAATCCAAGAAACATGAATGTCCTTTCTACATAATTTTGACATTCTAAACATATCGGTGGAATCCGTTTTGCAAATGAATGACATTTGAGTGATCTTTTATGCGATGCTGCATAATTGCAAGACATCTTTGTTGTGTTTGAGCGAAGTATGCGTGAGAGGTCCTTTCTTTTGCAAATAGTGACTTTTGTACTATGTCGCATATGTTGTACGTAATTTTCATCATGTCCAAAAGAATTTAGTGTGGAGAGTGCTACCATAAATGTCATTGGTGCAAAATAACAAGCAAACGGCACTGCGCGGCACACATATGACATTATTTGCTTTGCGCATCGTAGCACATCAAAATGGCACGCACTATTTGTGCTATGCATGGGCGCAATGGGGAAAGGTGCAAACGGCGCGCACCATTTTGTAAACATGTTTTAAATTTGAAAATTTAAATTATAATTAAATTTTTTAAGGTTTATATATTAATATCACAATTAATTAATTAAATATCAAATTAAAAAAAAATATCAAAAAATTTAAAGGATTTTAACTTTTTTGTAGGATTTAAAGATGTCAGTTTTGCTATTTGGCAAAATCTAGGCTAAGTTATGCTTAAATCTTACTCAAATCTATTGATGTAAGTTTTTGTAGGAATTAAAGTTTGTCATTTTTATTGTTTGACAAAATATTTATGATTAAATTTTACATGTTATTAGTTATTTAATGGTATTTAATATTAATAAATATATATTTTTCAATTATTTTATATTGTGCGTTATATTTAAAATGGCATGTGTCATGCCATGCGCCATGCGTCATGGCTCCATAGAGAAATTTGTGCCGTGGAGCGCCATTCATCGTTGATAAGGATTTGTGGTACTTTGGTGTTTTCAACACTCTGGATGGATCGACATAGTACATTTTATGGATAAACGATGCTTGAGTGATTTCGATCACATATAATGATATAAGGCATTTAGAACCAGCATGCAAGATGTAGTGCTAGTTCGCCATCATTCCCATCATGTTCACTCAAATTGATTATGAAAGAGATATAAAGGTCAACAAATGCCCACTTCAACAAATTCGATATGCACCTAGAGTGAACCGTATTTGTTGTAAAAAGATTAACACCATGAATCTCCAAGAATTCTTCTAAGTGTCGTGTAAAGAATTTTGATGTCATGGGTTCCCTTAAAATGTTCTTAAATATCAACGCATGAGATGAACTAAATTGTGATGTGTAGAAATACTTGAGCAAAATGAGAAGATGTTGTGGGATCGGAGCATTTACGATAATTTGTTCACACGATCATTCATGCTTCCATTATGGAAGCATGATTCCTCCATTCATATGGAGCCCACAAAAAGGATATTACTATTAAATGGAATGTGAAGAATTCAATCCATTAGAGATCACAATTGATCAATTGAGCTAGAAGGTGTTCCACCATATTTGAGCCAACCGCCAATATTATGGAGTGGACTGCATAGTCAAAATTATTATGTCACCACCAATTACAGCCTGATTCGTTAGATTAGCCCAAAGATTCTCAGGATGGGCAGCTTTCAAGCCCTTCTTACAAATATCTAACATGGGCTTCTTACATCTTGCAAGTACACAAGAACACTTGGAAAGAGACAA